TTGTGAAAGATCGAGCATTAATGCATACATTATCGTTATTGTTAGTGAATTTGAAATAGTATAACAAAAAAGTATTAATCCCAATAAGTCTAGAACTTCGACATGACACAAACAAGAACTGAAATTTGAAGTACGTAGTATGAAATTGTATTGTATTATTATGACAGGTTTAAACACAATATGAAATATTTAACTGCGCAGTAAATGTACTGGTTATTCATCACATTGGTGTAAGTAAAATCATAATAAATTGTAATTAAATTTCACATATTCTCAGTAATGTCTCCAGACCTGCTTTATTTAAGGCTTAATTTGTTTTCCGAATGCTGATTTGTTGTGGCTCGACATTCTAATCGACAACGCGTAATACAGCCTAAGTAGGATCAGTGACCTACAATCGAGGACAACTGGAAAGAAATCAAAGAAGCACTAACTTCAACGTGTCATGAGGTTTGGTTCTGGGCCATATGAAGCATCATCATAAGAAATGGATCTCTATCGAAACCCTAGACAAAATTCAAGAAATGAAGAACAAGAAGACAGCAATTAAGATCAGCCGAACAAGAACAGAGAAAATCAAGGCACAGTCTGAATATACAGAAGCAAACAAGCAAGTGAAGAGGAATATTTGAGCTGACAAGCAGAAATGCGTGAAAGACCTGGCAGAGATAGAGGAGAAAGCTGTAACATAAAGAAACATTAACCAACTATATAACACAACGAAAAAACTAGCATGGAAACACAGTAAGTAAGAGATACCAGTCAGGGAAAAAGAAGACCAGCCAATCACTGAGGTTCAAGAACAGTGGAACAGGTGGGTAGAACACTTTGGGGGACACTTAAATAGACCAGCACAGCCGAAGTCACCGGACATCGAAGCATCTCACACAGACCATCCCCTAGATATCACTCAACAAACGATCGAAATCAGGTTGGCCATCAGACAAAACAAGAGTAGGAAAGCAGCAAGACCTGAAAATATACCAGTCGTAGCACCACAAGTCAGACATAGAAGTAATTCCAAACAAGATACACGTTCTATTCAGGAAGATTTAGGAGAAAGAACAAGTGACACTGACAAACTGAAAAGAATGATACCTCATCAAGTGCAGAAACTAGAGGAGCATTACATTAATATGAGTGCGAGTGAATGCTTTCAACGGAGTGTTACTGAACCGGATGAATGATTTAGTAGACTCTCAGCTTCGAGATCAACAGGCTGGATCGCCTAAGGATCGGTCGTGCACAGACCGAATCGCGACACTGGATAGTCGATGAATAATCGATTGAATGGATATCATCACAATACGTCAACTTCTTTGATCACGAGAAAGCGTTTGCAGTGTGGACAGGAGGACATTATAGAACCTTCTTCAACACTATGGAGTTCCTGAGAATATCGTCAGCATCATCCAGAATTCATACTATGGTGTGTGCTACTTATATTGACATAAGTAGTATATGATGTTAGTCGTGAACTGAAGGTCTGGCAGCAGAGAGACAAGCGAATCGAACAGTAAAGAGTGGAAGCAGGATGCAATTTGTATGAAAATGCAAGAAAAATGAAGTCTGAGTCTTTTTCAGACAATTAATGGATGTTTCGCAAATTAAACATTTACTTTATGATTGTTAGATTTTATTAACAAGTCCTGTAATTTTGTGTTAAATACATTCGATTGTCCCCACTGGTGTTCTGTTCACTGCAATACGGTGCACCACACTGCAAGTGTTTGAATGGAGAACAGCTGACAGACGCATTCCGAGTGAGGAGCGGTGTCAGACAAGGCTACCTACTCTACCCCCTTCTCTTTCTTCCGATGGTTGACTGTATTATGAAGACCTCGACATCGAAGGGAAGCACAGAATCCAGTGGACAGGTTGGACGCAACTAGACGATTTAGACTTCGCAGACGACTAAGCTCTTCTATTCCATACACACCAACAAATGCAGGTCAAGAAAAACAGTGTGGTATCAACCTCTGCATCAGTAGGCCTGAACATACACAACGGAAATACAAACATCCTCAAATACAACACGGAGAACACCAACACAATCACACTTGATGGAGAAACTCTGGAACAGGTGGGAAGTTACACGTACCTGGCTCATCAGCATCAACGATGAATGTGGAGGATCTGATGCAGAAGTGGAGGCAAGGAATGGTAATTCAAGAACAACATTACTACAGTTGACGAACGTACGGAACTCAAAATACCTGTCAACCAATATCAAAGTCAGATACTTCAAAACGAACGTCAAGACAGTTCTATTGTACAGAGCTGAAACATCGACAACTACTACAACCATCATCAGAATAATGCAGGTATTCATAAACAATTATCTACATGGATACCATCAGCAACAACCTACTGTGGGAGAGAGCAAACCTATTTCTAGGTGAAGAGGAAATCGGAAAAATTCACTGGATGTGGACAGGGCACACTTTGAGGAAATTATCAGACTGCATCACGAGGCAAGCGCTAACTTGAAATCTTGAGTGCAGACGGAAGAGAAAATGACCATGGAACACATTGCGCTAGGAATTGGAAGCAGACATGTTATCTTCTCCTCTCATAGTCACCTAGTGTTAAGTTTCATGTGACACGTATAAAAATGTACTGAATCATGGTGCTATGGCATAGATCATAATTTCTCCACCTCATAACGGTTTTTCATGATATTTCGATAACGTTTGCATTTAACTTTTATGCCCTATTTTGACAGTATACGCTTGCAACTTTGATATATTACACTATCGCTTTTTAAGAATCAGGCTAATATAATGAATTTTTGAGCTAACTCGGAAATAAAATAGTATGGGAAGGGGTTTTGTGGAGATTGTAGTAATTTCAACAGTTGAGATCATGAGTCAATTGAAGCTAGACCACCATGGAAAACCTGGATGCACACTGCTGAGGAGTCCCACAATAGGACGAAACGGCCGTCCAGTGCTTCCAGGTTTTCCATGGTGGTCTAGCTTCAATTGACTCATGATCTCAACTGTTGAAAATAGTATGGTTTGTTGGGAAGATGCATCTCGTCTACACAGTATACTAGATCACTGAGAAATATGCGTGATCAACTGTTCTCATTTCTTGTCATATGGGACACACATGGTTTTGTAATCTTCTCAGAATATATTAAGCGGTTCGAAAGCAGCTTTTCACGACATATTAAAGATATGGAAGAGGTTGAACCAATAGTTTGATTTTCCACATGCTCAACTTTCTCTCGACACTTAAGCAAATACTGCTTATCCTCAGGAGAAAGCTGCACAACTGCAAGCTAACATCATCCTAAATTAATTTTTCAGGTATCTGATTCTGGCTAACTGATTCCTATTCATCATTAGTAAAGGATAAGTTTCCAACCTGGGAGATTTTATCCGTATAATGTCCTCATTTTTGAGTAAAATCAGATCTGTGAACAGTAATCTTATTTACAAGCGACGTTATTTTGGATGGCATTCAGACGTAAAGGCAAGGACTAGCAAAGCCAGGCACCGCATTCCTACAGTTAAAGAACATATAGAGGTCAAAACAACTTTCAACCAATATCAAAGTCAGAATCTTCAATACGAACGTCAAGTCAGTTCTACTGTACAGTGCTGAAACTTGGAGGACTACCACAACCATCATCAAGAAGGTATAAGTATTTATAAACAGTTGTCTGCTGAAGATACTCAATATCCGTTGACCGAATACCATCAGCAATAGCCTTCTATTGGAGAAAACAAAACAGCTTCCAAATGAAGAGAAAATTAGGAAAAGACGATGGAAATTGATAGGACATACGTTGCGGAAATCACCAAACTACATCACGAGACAAGTGCTAACTTGGAATCCTGAAGGGAAGCGGAAAAGTGGAAGGCCAAAGAACACATTACATCGTGAAATATACGCAGATATGAAAAGGGTGAAGAACAACTTGAAAGAGCTGGAAAGGATTGCCCAAGACAGGGTTGGATGGAGAATGCTGGTGAGAGGCCTATGCTCCTTTACGAGTAACAGGCATAATTAATGCAAGTAGTCTGACATATTCTGAAGATTTGCAACTAATATTACCTCATTCTATTTAAAATTCAGCCAGATATTCTTATTACACTTTGAAGTTAAGCGTAATTACCTGAGACAAGTTGACTTCTAGTGTTTAATTAAATTACACACTAAATAATCCTTTAGCAGCAACCTCTATTATTTTAACTAGCCCTTATGTGTTGTGCATAAAGTTGTAATACAGTTCACTGTGACAGCTAATAGTGATATCACCTGACTTCCAATTAGTAGGGTAGAGGTTGAAATTTTGTTCCACATAAATAGATTAGGGTAGCTAAGCAGTATATCATCAAGTCTTACATAAAGCGTGCCTGCAAGCCGAATATAGAAACTAACAATTAGTCGTAAAAGGTTACTAGCATTGGTTTTCTCCATGATTTTAGTAGAACGGTGACTTGTTTAAGGTGCTCGATTTTTAGTCACTAACTCATAAGTTCGAACGCCGCTCCATCTACTTTGGTCTGGATAACTGAGTAGTATCACAAGCCCTCACACTTGGAGTGTGGGTTGAAGACGTACATTAACCTGTATTCAGTCGATTGAAATAATCTTAGTAATATTATATGATGTTTTCTACACATTTATCTTATGATTAGTCATACCTAGTCAATCACCTAACAAATAGCGAATTTACACTTGGCTATTATTATGATACATAATTAGGATTATATTGAAGAAAAGTTGAATGATTTTGAACGTTGTCCTGAAACTATCGGACGTACAACGTCTATTAATGTTAATGATGTGACAAATCATAAAAACCTATCACAACTACTTACACGTAGTCAGTTTTATTAGAACACCTTGTTTTTTATATCTATGTTGGGATGACTAAGATGCAAGTTCCGAATTGCTCGCCGGCCCTTCTGAATCCATACCAAGATTTTGTCAAATACCAATTCATCAGGGCTGATAGAACTTCTAAAATAAGTGAAGTAGTTAAAGCGACCATTTAATATACTCCTTATCATTAGTTCAAGCATTGATTTAAACCAGCTTTGAAGTAAATTTTTCTTTCAATTAAGGGGAGAGGACAATGTTTACATTGTTGATTAGGAATAGAAAATTTCTCATTTACTAAGAGTTTCCATCATGGAATGAATGATCAACGCTAAGGAATATCAATATAACTAACTCAATGGATATTTATAATTGACAAAAGTACGTGAAGATACAACAATTAACTTGTATTTTTTTTTACTGTTGAATAGTTTTTTGGAAAAGTATTAATAGGATAATCTGGACTTGTTTCTTGTTCTAAATTATGTAATTCAGCAACAAGTTTATCACGTAATCGATTACTGACACGATCTAAATCTAATTTTCGAAGAATCAATTTTTCTTGATTTAATGAATTCACTTGTGCTAACCAACGAAAATCGCCTAATATTAAAAATTGTTTAATTTCTGATACTAGACGAGTGATATTTTCACAAGCATGTACCTAAAAAAATAAAAAAAATTATCACTATTATTATTATTACAAATATGAATAATAGAAATGTTTTATGATAGTGTATTAGCACGGATTCGAAAAGCTCGTTTGCTAACTTACGTCACCTATGGCGAAGGCGAGATATCCGTCTATCAATAAAAGGACGAGTATACTGCGCGGCAGTCCGTTCTGTTTTAATTTACGGCAGCAAAACATGGCCATTAAGAGTAGAAGACACTCGTAAGCTACTAGTATTTAACCACATATGCCTTAGAAATATTGCTGGCGTATGCTAGGATCACCGGGTAAGTAATAGTGAGGTTAGATGCAGGGTATTGGGGAATGATGGTAAATCAGTTGATGAGGTTGTGAATCTTCATCGACTGAGATGGTAGGGTCACGTGTCACGTATGTCTGAACACCGATTACCACGACATGCAATGCTAACCGTTGTTGGAGATGGTTGGAAGAAAGTTAGGTGCGGACAAACAAAAATGTGGCATCAGTGCTTGAAGTCACTAACTTCTAGTCTGAGCCATGTTGGTAGATGCAAACTACTTGGTTGGAGTCCGCGTGACTATCGTAACCAATGGTTGGAGACTCTGGGTGACATGGCTCAGAATCGATCATAATGGCGTCGGTGTATACACTCTCTGTCTTCCCTTAAACTAAGAGATTAAAATCGCTTCCTATCTTTCCTTCTTTCTACGAACTAATTCTTTCTTCCTGTACTGTATCCTTATTGCAATCTTTCTTTTATATATTACCACCTCTGAATTAACTACTCTTATGAATCCGGTGTCCATCTTGTTGTGTTATTGAGGTATGGCAACTTGGACTGATGCATATATGTGCCTGGTCTTACGTTGTAGCTGACTGACAGACTGTATTAGTAATGACATTAATAATCACTCTGAAAACAAATTTCGAACAATTACAATATAATGTTGGAAATAATTCATTTGAACTGATAAGATTGTATAATGAGTTAAAGAATTACCATATAAATTCATCAAAGGAATATTTGGACAACAGTTGAAAGAACACATTTAGAAAAGCGAGATGTATTCATTCTATTTTGTTGATTATCATCATTTCAAGAGATAATATAGAAGTCGTAGCACATAATGCCGTTAAATATGTGTTTATCCTAGGCTTTGGATAGAATTTAATAACTTAGGCACTAAGTGACTATTAAACCATTTTTACCTTTCTACTAACCGTATTCTTTCTATTATCCCTGTTTTGGTTTGAGCGCCCAGGGAGTATTCCAGACCTCACAAAAACTGAATGACGAAGTGTGGAACATATACATCTGGTGCTTCATTGTACCAATAAAAATAAAACTTTTCAATATTATTAATTCAAACACAAACATTGGTACAAAGGAGAAGCAAAATATATAGGCGCCACACAGACCAATAAAGTTGTGTGGTCGCTGGGATACTCCCCGGGTGCCTAAACGAAAGTAGGTGGTTTTTTTTAGCAGGCAACTATCAAAGCCTTTGATTCAGAGGTCTAGTCCACAAGGCAGTGGAACAACGACAGATGTGGTCCTATAGTAAACAGTGACCACAAATAAGTTCACACTTTTTGTTCCCTCAAGGTCCTGGAGCCCATGTGCATTTCTGGTTTGGAATCAGGGTTTTTCAGCATCTCGAGGTGGACCCTCAGCCCATTTCATAGGCTAGACGCTTGCTTTTTGTTCTCTCAAGCTCGTAAACCCCCTTGCGCCACGAGAAGGCTGCGATTAAGACTTGACTGATAGTGTCCATATATGCGTGGTTATATGAAAGCATTTCTATAAAGAGAGAGGATGCTTGTAATGAGTAGTATTTCGAGTAGGCACGTTTGCTTTCTCCATTGCTTATTCCTTCGTCTGTCAGAAGAATTGAACGTATGAAATATAAACATCTGAAACACTCGTATTGACTTTTTATAACTACGTTGTTATCAACGGTATTCATTGACAGATTATATACGATGTATGTGGGGTCCATATTTCGTCTACATCAATAACGATCCGAATCATACAACGGCCACTAAGAGCTAATGAGAAAAGACCAAGAATAAAATAAATTTATTTTACGCTAAAAATGCTATTCCAATTACGTGATATAGAATAGTTGATTATTATTTTAAAACTTGCAATCCATGTTGCGAATGAAATTTAGTATAAATAGGCAACCAACTACAAGTTCATGTACTCGAATTAGAACAAAATTGCTGTGAAGGTTAGGAATAACACCCAGTTTTTTTTAAAATATAAGTAGGCGAAGTGGGTTTGCAACTTGAAACACTGGTTGAGTCATATAGATAACTACATCAATTGTCTTATTGTCCACATGATCCTTGAATACAGTTTACTGATGTGAATAGCTAGTTTTAAGCAGTCAATATTAGAACGCAATATAAGAACGTGATGGTTACTCGCAAGTATAATATATATATCAGCAAATATTTATTAAAAGTTCACCTTTAAAAAATGTCTGAAAACGCTAAGTCTACTGAGTCAAAAATAGAATGAAGTTGGAACTGTAGATTATCGAGTTTCTAACCACTGGTTTAATGGTAAAGTATCTGCCTTAAGTTATGAAGATTTTGCGTACGATTTTAGTGCAGATGTGGTTTTGAGTTTTTGAGATAGTTGATCAATAATCGCTAACTTTTAGTTGTTCTTCATCCGCCAGTCGAGAATAAACATTAACGTAAGGAACAAATCCAAACGAAGAGAAAACACACTGATTATTTAATGAATAAGGGTTGGTGAAATCCAGTTTGAAAAAAACATTCGGACAACTATTCTCTCTATAATCACAAGGAAATTTCACAATACAACTTACTATATTTGCTGCTCTTACGCTGAATTCAAATGTATCTTGAGCACACTGAGCATATGGACCAAGACCTTTAGTAACCTCATTTGGGTCAATCTAAAATTTTGTAATTACAGACAGGAAAAGTAAGCACAGGAATTTACAGTGTACCTTGGATCGTGATAAAATCATTTCATAATTGGATAAAATTGAATTAATATTCGATCGAAGTCTAGATTTCAACCCTTGAACATGTGTATTTCTTTTGCGTGGAAAATTAGGTTGATTACTTGACGTTGACCGTTGATTTGACTGCATATAATCTATAATTGTGGGTGAAAGAAAGGTTATAAATGAAATTTCAAGGTTCAGATGTACTATAACATTAAGGCAGGAGAGGACCACATATGAGGACTACTACAGCATAACTTATTAAATATTGTATTTTCCTGCATTACTAGATGATAAGGAAATGCATTTTCAAGTATTAGAATATGCACTACCTTTATGACCCAAAGATTAAACAAAATATATTATCTACATTGATGTACGGGCAGTAGGATTTGAAGCAATAATTCAGTAGACAGAGCAATCATTAACTATTCTACGGTCATCGAATAGTGTAAACACCTAACTTTTAGTGATTTAGTAGAAGATTTGAATCCTGCTCCATTTACCTTAGTTTGGGCAAATGACTGGGATTTCATTTATTTTAACAGACACAACGTTTTTAAGAAAACAAGACCAATATATCCATCACGTTCCGTGAAACAAAAATATTGTTAAAAAATATGATGTGAAAAATCATAGAACTAAAAATAAAATATGTTAAAAAACAACATCAAATTACGGACATGACCAAGAGAGATTTCGTTCATTTCCAAAATATATATTTTATTGTTTATGAAAGCATGCATTGATAAAGCTACTACAGGATCACCACTGGCTCTTATTCTGAGCTATATTTTATATCCACGACACCACTGAGGAGGATCGCTAGCAGCATATAAAATACGGCTTAGGGTTAGTCAGTCTAGCACTGGTGAGAAAAGATGGCTAGCATGAAGTGCTTTTAAGGACATATAAAGCTTGTGAATGAAAATCTGGACACTACTACACAATATAAAATAACCTTACACCAAGATATACGAAGAATTGACCTAATCATACCTTGTTTATGAAAGCTATGATGAAAGATGCAGTAATGGCTTATTAATTGAAGTAATTGATTTATAACAGTGAGATCAAAGTTCAAATGCCGTCCTCCCTAACTCAAATAAGACAGATTAGCAGGGAAAATTAGTCCTGATGCCAAGTACACACTTCATTGCTTCAACTTTAAATAACTAGATGAGAAAAGTAACACTACATTTTGCTCCCAAAACAAGAATATCATTAAACGCACGGCGATTTTTGTATTTTTTGATTGATTTTTCTCATCCCATTTTTAAAAATTTTTCATTCCGTTTCGTCCAAATAAGTGACTAGTTTTAAATTCTGGATAATTGGTTATTTATTTCTTAAAATTGATATAAAATGTAAGTACTTGTCGACAGAACAACTTTTCAAATTATGGACGATAATAACGTACGAAGTACATTCGACTGAACTGGAGCAGACTGTAGATGGCGTTATGCTTTTTCGCTGCAAAACCGTTTAAAAGCGGATGACACGAACTGAGTGCCGTTGTCGGTTACCAAGATCTCTAGAACCCCAAAACAAGCAAACAATCTTGACAACTTTCTTATTTTACTCTGACGTCGTGTTCGGCATATCATATACTTCCGGTCATTTCGTGAAAGCATCTACAACAACCAAGTAATTTCCACCTTGTATTGAGCCGACGAAATCAGCGTGTATTCTTTACCAAGGTTCGTCCAGTTTTGACCATGTTTGTGGTTCTGCTTTTGTCCGTTTCTTTGTGGCTTCTTGACAGGACCAACAACTGCGACACTTTTGTTTTGTATTACGGTCCGTTGACGGCCAATATACGTATCTCCGAACCAGTGACTTCACTTTAATCTCTAGGTACCCGCTATGGAACTGTTTAAGGACTTGATGTCGAAGAGCTCTGGAGATAATGATACGGTGGCCAAACATAATGCACGAATCAACAACTGTCGGGGAATCTCGCCGACGGAAATATTGTAAGAGCTCTTCATGCAGTCTAAATGAGGGCCAGTAGTTGAGTATACAGCGACGAACAATCTTCAACAGATTATCCTTTTTACTTGCTTGTTTACTGGCTTCAAATGTGACCGGCAGTCCGGAAACTGAGTCTGCCAACACTGCATGAACTTCAGCCTTAACTTCTACAGCAGGCATCTGCCTGTCCAAAATCCGTTGTCGATTGATAATTTATCTTGAAATCATAGGCCAGCAATGTAGTTGCCTATCGCTGTAGACGGTTTGCTGTGTATACAGGGACACCCTTCTTGGATCCAAAAACTGTCAGTAGCCGTTTGTGGTCTGTTAGTAAGGTAAACTGTCTGCTAAATGGCATATTGTTGAACTTTTTACAAAGAATATAATGGAGAGGGCTTCTTTTTCTATCTGACTGTAGTTCTTTTCTGTCGTCGTCAGAGATCGTGTAGTGTAGATGATTGTTTTCTCAGATCCGTCAGGGTAGGTATATGAAGTCACTGCTCCGATTCCGTAAGTCACTAGGGTCCGTACCCATGATTAGTATATCATCAAGATACGTCGCAGTACCAGGAATGTCTTGCAACATAGTGTCCATAACTTGGTGAAAGATTGAAGGGGCGGTCTTTACTCCAAAAGGAAGTCTGTTATACCGGAATAAACCTTTATGCGTGTTTGTTGTCAGGTAATGCTGTAGATAAGCTTCTGATAGATTCAATTTTGCGAAATGCTCCCCCACATTCGGTTTCGCAAATACGTCCTCTGGCAAAGGGTACTGATGAGCTTTAAGTCCTTTGTTTAATCCTGTCGAATAATCTGCACATAGCCGGATACTTCCATTAGGCTTCTAAACAATCACTATTGATGCTGCCCGATTAGAAAAACTCACTGCTTCTATGATTCCACTTCTTTGAAGGCATTTTAATTCTTGCTCAACAATGGGTAGCGCTACATAGGGAACCGGGTGCTTTGGTCTAAAAGAGAGGTGGCTCCCGATTTAAGAATTAGTAGTGGTTTTACCTTTTTGCGTATCCCCAATTCTTCAAACATCAAAAAACATCGTACTTCTTGGTAAGACGTATGTCTGAAGAACAATGTAGTGTTGTCTATAACTCCGTGCATCAAGTGGTTTACGGAACGATGTCTCCAGAGCCGTTGACGTCATCGCCAGCAAATGAGTTTCAGATGGAGCCTCCAATTCCATGGATGTTACAACGCCGTTGATCCAACAGACGAAAATTCCCAACTACCGAACAAACGTGGATTTGGATGCCACGCTAAGTAATGACGACGATGCCCGCGACAACCGACTGCAATCTTGCTCAGTCACCAACTCCTGATGGAAGTACTTGGGTTTTTTTGTCGCTGCAATGCGATGTTTCATTTATATTGTGGCTGGAACGCACCACCACAATTCCATGGATTCTACTGACCCATGTGCAGCGTTACTGTTCGGGACAATCTGAAATGTTAAGAGACCGAGTAAAGATCTTTTTCAGGGCCATGCACAATTTTATTTAATTTCTTTCGTTTCAATTGGTTGAAAAATGGCATCAAACAATTTTCTTTAATCTCATTGTCAGCGAAGTAGTTTAAATGTTTATCTGATAACTCCTTGCGTACAACATTTCAGTCACTACTAATGAAAACGTTTTTTTATCTTTAAGTGTTTACTGAAAATTGGTACAAGTTTAAGTTATCATTACCATTGATTTACTGTACAATAACTGGGAATTATGTACCAAGATTAAATCACTGGTACAACAACATTGTTTCTATAGGAAAGGTTAACTGAAATAATAATTTGAGATTAGTAATAATAACAACATGATCATAGCCCACATATTAGGAATACTTCTTTATGGTTTATCAAATGTCTATATCATCTAATGGATACTAATCTTTAAGATAATAAAGGGAACTATGATACTAATCTGTCTAACAATAGTACATGCAAAGTTTAATAAGAATATTTTAATGTTTTTTTAATTGTTCAACTAGAAAAATGTACGCCTTTAGTTATTAATACATCGAAATTAAACGTTGGTATAACTGAATTTCAACTGATACAGTTTACATTATTTACATTCAGCAGTATAATGGGTATAAGAAAATTTCTGATGTCAGACGTACATCTGTCCACTTACAATTAATACGACCATATTTCAATTACTTGTCAAAAAAGGCTATTTTTTTAAACGTTTATCTGTTTCAGGTTTAATATTAAAACGTACCCAAATATTACAAATATGTACATAGAATTCGTCAGTGTCCTTTAATATGTTTAACAAATAAAACCTATGACTGGAAAAATGATTCCAAACTTTCTAAATAAATAATGTATGAGATGTCATTTACAAATAACATCAAAAAAAAAAATCAGACAATGATTTGATCAGACTGCATACTTACAAAACATTTTCTATTGACGTCACGTAAAATAAACCTACCACGCAATTCCCAAACACAATAACTGATCTAAATTACTACATACACAGAAAAGTATCTTTTTTCGTCAGAATTATATACTACTCAACAACATAGAATGGACAATGTACAGTTGAAAACAATTTTCACTTATAATGAATTTGCAATATAACGCAATTACAATCTTGCATTTATTAACGAAACCGTTTTCACGGGGAAATCCAGCAACTCTTTTCTATTATGAATCACTGTTGACGAAATCACAGTCATAAATATTATTTGGTTGAAGTTAGACATTAAAACCGTTTAATGTCGGCCGGCTTAGTGGTCTAAAGTTTAAGCGCTTGTGAGTGAGACTGATAGGTCTCGGGTTCGGATCTCATGAGGCGGGGTCGTGGGTGCGCACTGTTGAAGAGCCCCACAATAGGACGAAACGGCCTTCCAGTGCTCACAGGTTTTCCATGGTGGTCTAGCTCCAATTTACTTATGATCTCAACCATTGAAACTACTGTAATATCCACAAAAACCCTTCTCATATTAAATATTATTTGCTTCTTTATCAGAAATTATTATTATTAATTTGGGAAAGCGTAAAAGTTGTTTCATTCATCAATCTCTTTCGTTTAACGTGACTAATATATACCCTATTCATTATGTTATCACGATAACTTATTCATATGTTTACATATATATAACGATTATTACAAGACCAAACTATGTGTTAAAATAACTTATGGAAATGCTAAAATGAAAATCAGTTTACTACTTGTGCATTAAACATTTGATCAGCTTTCAAGTCCAGTAATCACTATTATCAATTCCTAAAAATAGTTGTCAGTTTTTCCCAGTTTAATTTTAGTGAGATACATAGTCCTTCTCTTGTCACGAAACCTAACGACTTCGGATCCATTTCTACTTGATCAAAAAGTTTATCCCGATATATATTCACAGACAGTATAAAAGGGCAGTCAAATAGAATTGGCGTCTACTTTTTTCAGAAGTCGAAACTTTTATCAAAACTCGGATGGAACAGTCAGACAGAATTATTTACTCAAAATAAAATTCAAATGTAAACTTGTAAATTCTGACATTCAATCAAACCAGTTACTGCTACTTGGATTTGAAATAATCAGATTACAAAGATGCACATTTTACAGCCAACTAACAAATTATTACGGGTGACAAAATGCTTATCACGTGAACACACACTTTCAATAACAAGTTCACCAATCACCTATCTCAAAATTTTTAAATCATCAACAGGGGGTGGGGGAATCACAACCGCCGTGCAATAATTGTCAACCCAAAAACAATGGATGGAAGACACGCGATTCCGGTTAATATCAAAATTTTTATCGAGCTTGTAAAATAATCAGGAGATGAAGATCCTTGAATTCTCTCTAATTCTGTTACTAACCAGTCAACTTAGCTTTTTTGAGATGGCAGAGATATATTTTGAGAATCAGATAGGCCATTTTGTGAAGGTATCAACAAAACTGGGCTAAGCAACTTCAGTAACACATATTGTTATTAATTTTTAGTCAGTCAAGATAGAAGCTGTGATGGATGTTTTATTTATTTATTTGAATACATAAATATTGGTACAAAATGGCACCAAATATATGTGCGCCATACCCAGATACACGAACCTCTCGACTACTTTTATCTGCTCACTATCCAGGGTGAGTATACGATCAGTCTTGTGAAAGTACTTTGCACTTTGATGCAAAGCATATACCATACCGACGGACACTAACTGCCAAACGATTAAGTGAGGATTGCATGGCTTGGGTATCATCGCACAATAAGATATCCGCATACTCAAGGTCGAGAATTCTTTCTCCAGAACAACTCATCAATTTATCTTTTACACAGTTCCCTTTATGTTTTGAAGAGAGTAAGAAAAAAGATCTGAGCAGAATAACAGGAATTTACTATATTTTGTTTGATTCTCGTCAGTTGCTTAAAAACTTATATTTACAAGTCATAATCATAAGATGGGCTTAAAAATACATGGAAGAGTTTCGTTGGGAGTTACTTCAAAGTGACTCATTTTGCAACTGATTTTTTAGGATCACAGGTTGTAAGCAACTGAAAATAAATTCGTGTGATTCCGCTCTTTTATTGAAAAAAAGGTCACGATGAACACCAGTGCTTACTTGTCGAACTAAGACAGTAACGCAAAGTTTATTCATAAGTGAGAATAAATAGCATTTCGGCATTATATCTCATGTCAGTTTGTGATGAAAACTCTAACTCTAATCCCTAACCCCAAATTCCCACTCAAAATCTTAACCCTAGTTCTTCGCTGATCTTTTACCCTCTTCTGACCCTAGAAAGTAGTTGAATTTGTTTAGGACCATTTTATTATTGCTTTTGAAACTTCATATCATGAACATCCTGTCTCATTTGGTACGAAGAACCTACACTCCCATGGAAATCCTCTTCCGATCGTCTCCTTAGAGCGTGGCTCTGAACTAATAACTACAGAGAGCCTAAACACCAGCTCAAACTACATGAGGCATGAAGCCAAGGCAAACTCAACTTTCTACTTTATGCAAAGGCGGCCTCGAGCAGTCACTCCAAAGTTGTTCGTAACAATGTTCGAAATGTAGGCACAGCTCCGCCCTGAAATCCATAATTTCATTGTGCCCCCTCGCTTCAAGAAACATCAATCTCTTAGACCAAGTACAGAAACGGACAGCCAAGTGAATGATGCGTATAAAACATAAATATTGCAAGAGGAGGCTTCGAAACCTGAGATTAGCCTCGCTGAACTACAGGAGAATAAGAAGTGATCTGATAATGACATATAACATTAAGTACGCCAAACCACCCGAACACGAGTATAAGAACACCACGCTCGTCAAGGCAACCCTCAGAAGATCACCCATTAAGGAGTGAATACCCAGGTACACTCACTTTCGCTTACTAAAAGTTGCCCTCATTTGAAATGCTCTCCTGGTCGAAGTGACCACGACCCTCTCAGTGGATAGCTTCAAAAGGAAACTTGACAAACACATACCCATGGATTACCATTTACCTGGTGAACCAGCTGCCTGATGCATGTTCCATAATTTACCTACTGTTATCATTATTACATAACAGTAAATACTTCCTATCTCTTTTTTTGTTATCTCCGTTTCTCTCCTTATTCATACAATTCGGTTTACTCACGCTATCGGCATCACCAATTAACTTATTTGTCTATCATTTCATGAAACGGTCGTTTTCTATTAGCAATAGAATTCTTTCCTTTCTATTTTTCAGATTACAACCAACCAAACTCTCGCCTGGCAATGTAGTAGGTGTTGATATACAGAAGCCCTACCGTATTGAGACACCCAATCTTTCGATTTCGGGCTTTTCCACACATTTTGGGGAAGTCCCTAATATTTTCCCGAAATTTTCTATAACGGTTTACCCAAAACGGATAAAAAAATTCTCCCAAAATAAGATCTTATTTTGAGTCCATTTCCCAATGTTCGAAGACTCATTCTCCCACAAGACATACAAATCCACAAACAACTACCAAACTAACGAGAACTAGAACAGTCAAATGGCTATACTACCCTACTGATATTGCAAGAGACCTAGAACCGTACAAAACAACAGGCGAGGACAAAGCAAACGATCGGTGTAAGTTTCGCGAGAAAGACGTTGAATATGAATGACCTCGATTAAAAACAAATCTCTAAAGAACTGACTACTTTGAAAGCCAACTGCACAAAGAAAAATAAGGTTATCACTTACACAGGGTTATTTCACAATAAATAAAGCCCGGCTTTCACAGACACAAATTGTTTATGCACCAAGGTCAAGAAGCCTCAAAAGAATTGGTAGGTTTCAAAATTCAATAAATTAGTACAAACATCTTTTGTTTAGCAATCTTATTTATTAGGGTTTCCATTATTTGATCGTGACCAAGATTGACTTTTTTAATTTAACTTTATCGTAGCACGTTGCCGGCACATTGACAATAAGGTAGTGTTTGACTAGACTTAAGGTTACAGCGTGGTTCGGTTGGTGATTGTTGACCTTAGTCTGCTTCCTGGAAACGGTGAATCGAGCATTTTCAGATAGATATTTGATCCCCTTTTGTTCAGAGAGCTCTCAATAATTCCCGAGTCTCTGTGGAGATAGTTGACATGAGCTTATTCTGATATTAGTATTTGCTGTTGTTTCAATAATTTATTATTTCTCATAAACTGTGCAGTTACTACTACTGACTGTAAACGTTTTGTTTGAAAACACTTTGATTTTAATATTTCGTTCCAAGTCTGCTCTCTCGTGGCATGACACATCTATTGTCACCGATACATATACTTTTGCGCGCACATACTTCTTGTTCTCACTTATCATCAGTCCCGATAACATGACTCTGATATATTTGATGTTTATATTCACAGATGGTATTGATATCCTCGTCACGTGATTACTCTAGATACACATCCTGGATTTCATCAGCCATATTTGGGATCCCCAAGCAACCAATAAAGGGGAAGTAAAGGCGAATAAAGGGGAAATAAAGCGGACGAAAGCGTAAATAAACGGGAAATGTCGCTTTTTCGCCTTTACGTCGTGTATTTGGGGAAAAATTTGTCGACAATTAGACGTTACGCACATTGTTTGAATGAACCGCATTCAGAACTTAAGTTTTCATACACGTCGACAAATTAAGGCACCGCTTAATAAAAAACCAAAACTATTGTCATAAAAACAAGGTACAAAACGAGCACTTCAGAAATGCAGGTTTTAAGGGTGCATACGAAGTAACTGATATTTGTTATTTCAACTTCAGGTGCCTTAACAAATCGCTTTCTGTCATCCGCTATCAACGAAAAAGACCGTCGTAAGCTGTACAACATCGTGACACAAGATTACTTTCACGATATCCGAGACAAAATGATAAGGCGTAATAGAAGGGAACAAGATCAGGTATGTACTAATTTAAAGTTATAACTTCCCTACGGCTCTGTAGTTACAGTCAACAATATTAACGAACATAACCGTAAGTTCAGCTTCAAGTATTTGTCTGTGCCAAAGCATGTCATTGAGATATGCTTGTGACTTTTTTTGTTGCTTTTACTTTAGAATTCACGGAACGACTACCTCAATTCTCAATAGCCGAACGAACGTGACTGAAGATCATAGTCCGTGCAATTTTCTTTATGTTCTATCTCATTTTTATTAAACAAATTTTGGTAAAAGAGCTGACTTCATTAATTACATGGAAAACTATAGAAGTGTTGAGAATTTGTGTTTGAGTGTCAATGAACTTTTCATTAAATGCACATTCCTTATAAATAATACATCACCTGTTCCTTCTTTTGCAGATAATTTCAAATAACAATGAATCGGCAATTGCAATGGATATGCAAAACAATCGATGTTGAAGCTTCTGCTCTAATGTTGTACAATAATACGCTTTTCCTTTTCAATAAAATTTTTTAAAAATATACCGGTCTTTCAGTGCATTGCAGTTTTATTTTGGTCTGTTGTTCAGAATATAGGAGAACATAGGAGACCTTTGAGGTTATATTATTGTATCGAAAATAGGGAGTTCTGTGTGTATTTAGCCGAAAAGTAGACAATTAAACGTATAAGTAGGCAATTCCGCGGAAATTTGGGCGAAAAGTGGAAAATTCGGCGGACATTTAAGCGAAAAGTAGACAAATCAGCGGATATTTAGGCGAAAAGTCGGTAATTTATCGACAAAGCGTCAAAACAGGGGGAAATCCGCAGCATTTCCTCCGGACAGGCGAAAAAGGCGACATTCTGATGCGTTTTCCCCTTTGTTTCCCCTTTTTGGTTGTTTGGGTCACTGACTACTTATTATGAATCACAGGACTGCAACTCGAATACGCCTCCTTTTTAAAATCTAAGTAACAGAGCATATTTTCCTCTGTGCATAATTTATACTTCAATACACTAACTAACGAAACCTTTTATTTTTTTAACAAATTTGTCCTAATTTAAGAATGGATATATTTGGTCCACCAAGACCCAAATACCTAATTATTGTTTCCTCCGCTATTTAGTACACTATTTCGTGATAGACAAACCTTGATTGTATAGCACAGATTGTACCGTTTGAGGTATTTTGTATTGTGATATAATTTGTTTTCATTCTTAAATTAAAAAGGGATTAATTAAACACGGAGTTTTTGTTTGGTGTGACTTGATAAGAGTGACTCAAGAAAGCCTCCTACACTATGCAAAGGTAAGTGGTTCTTTCCATACATTCAATCCTCGGTTTATTAACTCTAAGTTCAGAACGAATACTGGAAGTTCAATCGCTAGTGTAATATATGCAATCCATTCAAAATCAATGTACAAATCAGTTGTAAAATTTAGAACGATCTTAAAGATACCATAAGTATTTGGAGTTTGACAACACGTTAACCAGTAGCATCTGTGATCAAAACGTGCCAACCCAGTGAAACCTGAGGTCAAGAGCGAATAGTTTCGAAGATATATTTGATAGGCTATTGGTATATCGAGAAGTGACTGATCTAGGCTGGCTAGCGGCTGCAGAAGTTGGGCGCAGCGTACCTACTCGTGATCTGGTGCGGATGCGTGACCGAGCGCCATCAATCAGGTGAGTTCATCAAAACTAATATGGTCGGCACAAAATGTCGAAGGTGCACAGAGCTATTGATTTTAGGGATTTAGTTACCACTACAATCTGAGTAAACTCCAAGACTGGTGTAATGAATTGTTTCTCTCTTTTAGTACTCAAATTTTCGGTTCCATTCACACAGATAAGCTTACATCTAAGAAGAGTAAAATTTAAACGATAAAGTAACATTAGTGAATTAGGGGCGAGGTACTCTAAAATCATTCATTCAAAGAACAAGCCTTATCTTAAGTCTCTAAAGCTCGTAAACCTTCTGGGTTTATTAGTAGTACCTTTCATTTAAAGGGATCCGAAATGATTCTCTATAAGGTATGTCCTCGATATGTACTAGAATAGTGCATAGTTATATCCAGTTGTGTGCACTTCTCAAACCGGCAGGTTATCGACAGAATACAGGATTGTTTTGAGGGACTTTATGCTTCTGATCTTTTCTAGAAAGGTAGATGTTCAGCACAGAAACTGGGTTCCTTATTAGGTTTTACGAACTAAACTCAATCCTACTTTACATTTAAGAATTACACGTAATGAAACTGTAGCAAATTTCGATATCGCACGATATGCCATAAATTGTACATAATATTATAGAAATCAGGATGTTGTAGTGAAGCAAATCAAAGCCACCTTTTTCGTTACATTTTACGCGCGCCTCTTCGTTAGGCTACGAAGGAAATGCGGTGAGTTAGAACTCTTACACAACCTAAATCGTCCGTCCGTCATTGAGCATGTCTTTTAGGATTGTTTGTTAAGGTCTTTTTGTATCTACTGAAGTCAACTTCTTTCAGTGTTGTTATGCACAAACCTTTCCTTTTGTGTGTCCAGTTTCTATCACCTATAAAGCCTTGGAAGACATTTATCATTGAAATCAGTTTTTGTTGTTGTTCTTCCCGTGAGATCGCTAAACAATTTCATGGCTCAAGCAAAATGTCGTTGTGGTAGACTTACATGCTAATTCTCGGTCAGCGATGGAATGCACTGTAGAAAGCGCAATCGTAATATATATCCCGGACAAATATCTGCTGCATATAAAAAGTGGTGCGACCCACTATCACATTAGCTGTGCAAAGCATGCTATTCTACACCGTCTCTTCTGAGTCCTGAGACGATTGTGCTGTTGAACACAGCTGAAAACATGTCCTCAGATAAAAAGGCAGCACTAGATGAGCAGACTTCATTTTCCGGGGAAATAGAGGGCATCATGACGGGCCAAGCTATGGATTCGAATGAGACCATCAAGGTGGACCCCATTAGAGAAGCGGATGACAAGCATTTAGATGTAGGCATTGTTACAGGGGAAAAGAAAAGGCATGCTGAAAAGCGACAAAATATAGGCAGCACTAAGATATATGGGTCTACGGTTTCAGTTACGGATTCACATATCAACGCAAAACAGACTATTGGGGAGCAAAGCTTGAGCGGTGTGAATGATCTGACCAAGAGACATAATAAAGTAAATGAATGACTTACGGTTGCATTCAGAAAAACAAAAGTGGGGAAACAGAGTGAGACCTCTGCGATTGACGCTAAATCGGACAACAGAGATGAGAATATTTTAGGAAACAAAACCTTGCAGCTTGTTAAAACGGACCTCTCTGACAACCAGCCATTTCTCATAGGTCATGGGAATCTTCAACTCCGCCTGTAGCTCTTATGGGCTTACTGCCGGTCCTAAGCCCGGGTAAAGGAGGAGGGTTGGGCATGGGGTTAGCGTCCTTATCCCGTAGAAAACTAACTCGCTAAAAAAACGCTTACCAGAAAAAATAATCCAAACCATTTTAACTCTGCCCTGGGAGTTAGAAGGTCTTCATTTAGAAGAATTATTACGCTTCATGGTGAAAGCCGAGTTCCTTCGGAAGCCATGAGGCCGATGCCCCTTCTAACAACCAGAGCTGAAATCTTTATAGGTACATGGAACGTTCGAACAATGTGGGAAACCTGGAAGACCAGTCAAATATCAATGGAAATGAGGAGATACAACTTAGCAGTACTGGGAATCAGCGAAACCCATTGGACACAAGCTGGACAGAAAAGGCTAGCTACGGGAGAGATGCTGCTATACTCCGGTCACGAAGAGGACAATGCTCCACACACTCAGGGAGTCGCTCTTATGCTGTCCAAAGTAGCACGAAATGCACTTGTAGGATGGGAATCTCACCCACCAATGATAGCAACGACGAAATTAAAGATCAGTTCTACGAGCGGCTGCAGTCAATCATTGAGAAATGCCCAAGAAAG